CCTCGCTGGGACCTCGCTGCTACTTCGCCTAGTGAACATTCGCAGGCTGCTCGCTACTGTTCGCCCAGCGGACATTGTAGAATCTTCACATTTCTTTGGATTCCTTGTCCAATCTTTTGTGTCTTACTCATTGATGTTTTATGCCTAATTGTTGCACAATAACACGCGCATCAAGGAATCCAAAGGTATTTGCAATATAATTTAAGAATCACACAAGGACATGAATTACATCTATGAAAACATGAGAATTTAGTTGAAAAGTGCCAAGAAAGATTGCTCATTTTAAGTCAAAATTTTCACTTAACAATAAGCTTTCTTCTAGTTTTTATAAGGTTTCCTAAATTTTTTATTCACCCTTTTGATTAAGGGACAATATGGTCTGATACACCCTTTCTTTCCACATATGTAGCATGATAGGATGGATGGTGTTATTCTTCATATTCTTATTGCTCTTCTTTTTTCTTATTCTCATTCTTTAATAATCTTTTTAAGTTATTTACTATGAGATACATGTCACCATCAGATTCATATTCCTCGACTTTAAGTGTTATACTTTTGTTTTTCTTATCTCCTTTTTCATCTATAGCAAGCCTTTTGAGTTCCATTTCATATTTATGCAATTTTCCAAAGAGTGTGTGTGTCTTCATAGTTGCTAAAACCTTAGATTCACAAATCACATTGACTTTAGGTTTCCAGATACTATTTAACCATATAAGAACTTTTACGACTAATTCATCATTTGAGAATGTTTTTCCTAGAGTTCTCATATGACTCTTACACATTCTTCTTATTATCTTTGGTTCAACCCTATTTAGGTGTGTTTACTACAACACCATTAACATCATATGTAGGAACAAGTGCACCTTCGTTCACAACCCTCCAAATTCTATGATTCATCCCTTCTATGAAAGATTTCCCTTTATTTTTTTTACAAACTATACCCTTCTGCATCAAAGGATGATGGTTTATTTAGTGAATAGCTTGAACACAATTTTCCTCCCTGGAATTCTAGTTTTTAACACGTATTAGATTCGGATTCCACTTGTTGGACAAGTGACTTCAATTACAAGAGAGGGGGGAGGGGGGGGTTGAACTATGGTATATAAAATTTGTGTTTCCTTTAGTGGTTTTCTCAATTATACTTGAAATTTTGTTAGTAATTTCTTAAAAGTAAATAGAAGAAGAAATAAAAGTAGTAAATAACAAATAATAAAAAGGATACAAATTACAGAGATTGCATCAGATGTTTATCCGGGTTTGGTCGACCGTTGGCCTACTCCTATCCACAAGAGATATTCTTGAGATTTTGACTATAAACTTTGATCTTTTACAAGTTATTCCCCCCAAATCTTAATACAATTTAATATTGATTTTTGGAATGCTTATCCCTAAATAAATATAGCTTTTACCCCATGCTAATCTAACAAATCGTTTAGAGATTTGCAGGCTTATCTCAATAGCCAAAACAAAATTTTTTCCGCCAAAGTTCCATAAACTAAAGCATAGATTTTATGACAGGTTTATCTCACAAATCAAACTCAATTTCCTAAAAGTATCACACTCTTAGAAAATAAAACAACAACACGACCAATACAAATTCTTCCTAAAAACTAAAGTTTCACTTAAAGGTACTAAGGCAACTAAGTGAAATAATTCACCTTCTTCCAACCAAAAGGGATGTACCTGAAAATGGTAAAAATATTTTACTAAAGTCTCTGCTACAAAGGGTTATCACATACAAAGTATTTAAAATCCCAATTTATCTCTCCATTAAATAATTTGATAAAGTTATTTATCTAACCTCTAATGGGTCTCTCTACTGCTCTGACACTCTAAGTAACTTGGACAATTTCAACCTTCACACTACTCCCCAGTCTCTTCTTGTTGATCCAACAATGGGTCATATGGTCCATCTTATTATGGTATATATGTCGTCTCAATTTTTATGTGATCCATCATGTCCTTATCCCAAGTTCAACCTCGAGAAACATATTGAAAACCGATGTTGTGGTTACTTGACTGCATGCAAACAACATTGAGACCAATTAGGCTAGTGGAGTAACTCAATATATGTTAGATTGAAGAAAGAGCGGTATGTGGTTTCCATATGGGGATCTAATCACAAGAATTATGATTCACGTTGAAGTTAGTCTAGAAGTGGAAAAATGTAGCTCAAGCTCCTTAAATATCATAAGATATTCCTGAAACAAATGAAGATCTCTAAAAGAGATTAGGTATGGGTGTACATTTCACCTGTTGAGCAAGCTGCAGAGGCTCTCCAACAACTAGAGCATACAAAATAGAATGATTTTGATTATCATATTCCTCTGATTGCTTCAATAGAAGCTCTCCTCAATACCATCCTAACAAGCACTCAAGATAACAACATGGTGCTCATTGTAATGTCAACCAAAGTTGACTTTATTTTTTAGCACTTAGCATGCACCGAAGTATCATTTCCTCTTGGAATATTGGATGGTCATGATGATTATTGTACTAATCAATATCTTTCTTGTTGTGTTTTTCATTGTATGCTTTCTATTTTTGGCAATATTCATCTTGTAATGCCTTTTTCATATATATGAAGTTTTTTTCACCTACTTATTCTCAATATGCTTTGTTATATTATATGTGTGTAGTTTATTGTTTTATTCTTATTCCTTCTCCACATAAGAAGGATAACTATACTCTCAAAGGGAGTGGAATATACTCTCTTTATTTTTGAGGCAGAGTTAATCACTCTAATAATTTTTTATCATAATGTTTCTAGTTTATCATCTTAATGAGAGATGCGTTATCATCATAAAAAGGAGAGAATGTCGTTATATGTGTTGCGCAAATAATTATGAATTTGATTGTGGTTTTAAAGATGACAAAAACAATTAAACAAAATAATCATTAGAATAATTAAAGAAGAAAAAAGAATGAATTAAATCAAAAAGAAAATCTAAAAGGTTTCAATGTTTTCTGCAAACAAAGTTAAATGATGAGATCAACATTAAAGGAGTTGAAGTCTTTCAAGGCTCACTAGTGATCATGTGCTTTAGATATTTTAATTTTTTTAGATCATTAATGTGTAATATGTGTGAGTAGATCTCAAATTACTAAATTAATACACACATTTACAATTTTTTACAAACTTCTTATGTATTAAAAAATATTTAAAATCATCTTTGGCCTTGTGTTAATCGATAGAAAGTGTAACTAACCAATTAGGAAGCGATAATACATTCTATAGTCAATTAATAAATGTGTCTAATAGACTATGGAGTGGATTCCTCATCTCATAGATTGGAAACCCTCTTAACCGATTAGGTTCAAAACCAAACTATATTCCTTTCAAAATTGATAGGTTAATTTAATTGATTATCGCCATATACTAATCGGTTAAAGAGCAACTCTGACCCATTTCTCTTTTCTTTTTTGGCCAAAAAATTTTCTTATAAAAGGAGGACTTGTGTTCAAGTTTTCACAATACAAAAATATGGTATTCTAGTTTTTTTTCTCTTAATCACTATCTTCTTACAAAATATTTTATAAACATTATATTATTTTAGCGTTCATAGAGAAAAATTGCAAAGTAAAAACAGTGTATTGATGTTTGAATTAGATTGTGTTGTAATTGTAAAGTAACATAAATATTGCTATAAAGATAGTAAGTTGAACCTCATATAAAAAGCTTTGCATGCGAGGATGATAATATGATAAAAATTCAATTTGAAAGTGGAACTCTCAAGAAAAAATTCTTGAAGATTAGAGTTGATTGTGTGATTTAAGGTCAAACTTGTATACATCATTTATGCACTTTCTTAACTTTTCTCCTTTACTTTATTGTCATGTATCTTTGACCTTTTAATTTTTGTTTCATCCATCTTTTTAAAATTGACCAAGTTAAATCAATCTTTTCTCAAAATATTTTTAAAAACCATTTAACACAATTCACCTCTCTCTTGTGTTTAATTCACATGGTCAACACATATAATGCTTGATGGTATCAACTTCTCACTCATGTAGGGACTATATTAATATTAGGTTGAAGAATTACATAGATCGCTATTACTATGATAATAATTTATAACACTCACATAACATGACATGTAGTATTCTCATAATGGGTTAAATCTAACATAAAAATTATTCATAATTTTTATGCTAATGTAAAGATTTGATATCTCAAATCCATAAGCTATGAGATATGATCATCACTCTACTAAAATAATAATCCTCACGTATTATTGTTGTCTAGTTTCATAGTATGGTTTAACTACATATCTTTTTAGAATAGAACCTTTATGTTTAAGGGTATCTCAAATTTGAGTCACACTAATGTTCCATTAAACGAGTTGTCTAGTTTGTCAATAAGGCTTGGCTACATATCCTTTTAGAATAGAACACTTATGTTTAAGGGTGTCTCAAATTTAAATCACACTTAATTTTCCATTAAATCATTAAACGAATTAACTATTTTAGAAAATTTATTACTTCGAAAGCAAACATAACAAAGAATAGAGTTTTAGTTTAAATAATTAACATGATCAATCAAAAAATCAATGAGGCTTACACCAACAATCTCTCCCTATTACTAGAGTCCATAAGGCATATGCCTAATATCCATAAATATAGTATGACCACATGCTTTTGCAAAGTAAGGGTCAACAACATCATCAAGTAATAATACTTTGTATATCTTAACATCTCCTCTTTCGATTATCTTCCAAATGAGGCGAAAGTGCAGAGGTATCTGTTTGGATTGCATATGAGACATAAGCTTCTTAGTTTGTGCAACGACACCATCGTTATCACAATGAAGATCTGTGAGATCCACAATGCTAGGAACTACACTTGTGGCAGCAATATACTCAATCACAGTAGTATAATCAATGATTTTTCTTGCTATGAACTCTTCCCGCCCAAAAACATGAGTCTGGGATCTGAAATCATCTTCTCAAGAAACAGTTGCAGAGATCTTTTCATTAAAAGACGTTATTTTTTCTACTTTGCTAATGATTGTATGGAGAAGCTTGTTGAATCCTATTTTTTCTCTTCTGAAGAAACCGTTGCAAAGACCTTTTCATTGAAAGAGCAGGACCAGGGCTACACGATTGATGAGGAGATTGTACTACTGTTGGTGTTGATGTCTTTAATGTTTCTTGCACATTTTTATTCGCCATCATTAAGATTGATTTGGCCTGCACAACATTCACGTTAACCCATTTATGATTATTTGTGTGTCAAAGAATTATCACATATTAAAGTGAATCAAATCCCAACATAAAATAATAAAACTACCTGAAACTCTGTGACATCAGTAACACACATGTTGCCATCGTAGAAAATAGTCAGTGGCTGTTGCTGATTTTGCATTGAACTCTGATCACTATCTTCTTCTTCTTCAATCCTTTAATTGAGATAGATATTAACAAAATTAATTCAACACCCAAAGGAAAAAAAAAGAAGAAAGAAAGACTAAGAAAACAAATTGCTTACATGCGACTGTTGTGATTGTGATTGTGATTGCTATGAGAAACATGTTGAGGAAAAAGGCAGAGTTCTAAGTTGCAATTTCTCATCATCTTTTCAAGAGAGATATGAAGTGAGAAAAATGTTTAATGTATAAAGATCAAGAAGAGTAGCGTATATATATAAAAGTTGAAGGTAGGCGCAGCTAGAATAGAAAGAAGAGGAAATTTGGGCGTGGAAAATGCCAAGAGAACGAGAAAGGGACAGACACTAAGGATCAAGTTGTGGTACTGCTGTCTTAAATTACAATTAGAGCATGTGTCTAATTTAACAAAAGAGTGAAATATCAAAGACTTAAGATTAGAGCATGTTTTCAACGTTTTTCTTTTAAAGTTTGTCACGTGTTTGCGTTCCGCACACGAAACCAACTAAGTGTGTCACTCGTGTCGGCACCATGGGATCATAATAAAAATGATTTTATAGTATATTCTTTTTGGAAGTACGTGTGTATCATAATATAATAAACTCGTGAATGGATTAAAAAATATAAAAAAGAAAGAGGTTAATATATATTAAATTATCATTAATAATTATTGATATTTTTTATTAATAATAAATATATGATAGAAAAATATTTTGCTTCTACGTGCCGTCATTACTCATTTGTAGTTGTTTCGGTTAGAGCTGTCAACATGAATTACCCGACTCTAAACGGACCCGCCTTAGTGGGCTGCAGTCTTTTCCGTGCCAGGTCCAAAAAGCTATTTTAAATACGAGCTTACTTTTTACTACCTAAGCCTAGTCCTGTCTGGGCTGCGGGCTACCTCGCCTTAAAACAGCCCCGGCCCTAAATGAGCCCATTTTCGAAAAAATTTAAACAATTCTCCCTTTTTTTAATTAATAACCGGTAGCATATTATCTTTATTTAAGTAATTCTCCCTAACACAAAATTATATACTATGTAACTTTCAACAAATTACACACGAAATTATCCAACATATAACATGTAATTTCCAACAAGTTACACACAAATTACATACAAAATTATCCATCATGTAACTTTGAACAAAATACATAGTTTTAAGTTACATGATAACACAAAATAAGGTACATGAATCATGATAACATAATATCCAACATGTAACTTCTACAAAATAACAAGTTTTAAGTTATCAAACTTAACACAAATCAATTAGTCATAACTCGACTCGCAACGTCACTTGAGTTTTGTTCAAAGACATTCACATGTTCAGATGTGTTGGATGCTTGTCCACTTAAACCATCTTGATTAGTATTAATGTCATTATCAAATTCTACAAAATAACAAAAATAGTAGTTAAAAAAATATACATTATTTTTAAGTTCTATGGTTTTTGGATTGACAACATTTTGATAAAACATGTTGTCAGCAAGATGTTAAGCCAGATTTTCTGCTATAACAGTCAGACATCATGTTCAGCATGATGTTGTGACATGTGTCAAGACATGTTATACCAGAAAGTTAAAGCATGGTTGTTTTGGTATTTTAGTGTGAGTTTTGAGTGTGTTTTAATTCACACATTTGTGTTATCCAAAGAGGGATATTGTGTGCACTTCTATTTTGACATATTGTGTTAGTTTTCGTAAAAAGGATCCTTGAGCCTTTTTAGGAAACTTTGTATTTTGTTCCTATCATTGTGCAGAAAATTATGCTAATGATTTGAAGTTAATTCCTGGTAATTTGCATTTTATTTTGAAGCTCAAGCCCACATAGACTGAAAGCTATTTAAAGAGAAGACCTAATCTTGGACATGGTGTAAATTTTTTATGAAATTAGGGTTAGTCGTGTCTTGGAGTGTCTTTAGTGTTTAGTGTGTTTTTATTTGTATGTCACTCTTGTATAAGGTTTGATGCATTGAGTTGACTGATTTTCATTGTTAATTGTTCTCTCAAAAGCTTTTAAGCAAGAGTGTATTGTTCTTAGTTGAAACTTTTAAGAAAAACTAAGTATTGTACTTAGAAGGGTTGGTACTTCTATCTTGAGTTATTGTTGAATTGTCACTGGTTTGTGACTGTTAGAAAGTGAGAGAGAGAGATCTCATATCTAGAGGGTTTCTAGGTAGAAGTTGCATAAGATAGTGATTAGGCGAGAAGTTGTAAACATGGGAGTTTAGATTTGAACTAATACTATCATATCAGATTTCCTTCCTGGCTTAGTAGCCTCCATATGTAGGCGAAGTTGCACCGAACTGGGTTAACAACTACTGGTGTTATTTATCTTTCCGCTCTTTAAGTTTCTGCATATTTACTTATGTGATCAAACAGTATTGATCTCAGTATTGTGACATCTGTCTCGACATCTGGTATCTGCATGCTAGAATTTCAATTTGCATCAGAGCAGGTCACCCTGTTCAGTTTTTGGGTGAGCTCTAGGTTTGTTTTGTTGAACTACGGATAAGGATGGAAGAGGTAATGTGAATAGACCCCCTATTTTGGATGGAACCAACTATGACTATTGGAAAACACACATGGTAGCTTTCTTAAAATCCATAGATATCAAACTTGGAAAGCTGCCATCAAGGGCTGGGAACATTCTGTGGTTAAAGATAAAGATGGGAAGGAATCTTTGAAATATGAAGAGGATTTGACCAAAGAAGAAGATGAGGCTGCTCTTGGAAACTCCAAAGCCTTAAATGCCTTATTCAATAGAGTTGACAAGAACATATTTAGGTTGATCAACACATGTACTGTGGCTAGGGATACTTGGGAAATTCTCAAGAAAACTCATGAAGGCACATCTAAAGTAAAGATGTCTAGACTTTAGCTACTAACTATCAAATTTGAAAACCTTAAGATGAGGGAAGAAGAAAGTATCCATGACTTTCACATGAATGTTCTTGAAATAACTAATGCCTTTAGTGCCTTAGGAGAAAAGATATTAGAAGAAAAGCTAGTTAGGAAGATTCTTAGGTATCTTCGTAAGAAATTAGACATGAAGGTTACATCCATTGAAGAATATCAAAACATCAGCAGTATGAGAGTTGATGAGCTTGTGGAGTCACTTCAAACCTTTGAATTGACTATTAATGACAGAACTGAAAACAAGAACAAAAGCATTTCTTTTGTTTCCAGCGTAGGAGATGAAGAGGAAGAAAGTGAACTTGATACGAATGAAGCGATGTTCAATGCCATTATGTTACTAGAAAGACAGTTCAAGCAAGTTCTGAAGAGAATGTAGAGGAAGTCAAGACCTAATGTCTAGAACATCGGTTCTGACTCCAGCAGGAATTATGACTCTCAAAGAAGAACAAGATCTGGAGAAAGGACCAATCAAAATATAGGGGTTCAATGTCATGAATGTGAAGGGTTTGAACATATTAAAGCAGAATGTCCCACTTATCTGAAGAAACAACCTAAGGGGTTGGCTACCTTGTGGAATGAAGAGGAAAGTGGAAGTGATGATGAGACAACAAAACGTGTAACTTCTTTAACATGAAGATGGGCATCTGATTTAGAGTCCTGTGATGAAGATGTTTCTCATGTTGGACTAGTTGTTTCCTACAAAGACCTATGCATTAAAAGTGAAAAACAATAGGAAACTATCTCTCAACTTCAGTATGAGAAGGAAGATTATCTATCCAACATCTATAGTCTGCATGATGAGGTGACCATGTTGACCTCCAAACATGAAAATATGACCAAGTCTATAAAAAAGTTGAATAATGGTTCTAGCATGTTAGACGAAATTCTTCAAGTTGGACAAAGGGCTGGTGACTTAAGAGGCATAAGGTTTAATAATCAAATCTTGGGAAGGAGACCATAAGGCTACAAAACTCATTCCAACTAGAAGAGTGGAAGAGCCAAGGATGTTAGAATAACTGTCAACATCAAGATAGGTATAAGTGTGGTAAAAAGGGAAGCAAGACTCAGCAATGGAGATGTCATTACTGTGGTAAATTTGGCCATATCAAACCTTTCTATTCTAACCTTAAGGATGGAGATGTCTCAACATCATCTTCGACCTTTGTATGCTTCTCTAGAGTTGAGTCATCTATTGTAACATTAATAGATTCCATCATTGCCTATAGAGTATTCAACACAAGAACCAAGACAATTATGGAATCTATTAATGTTACAATAGATGACTCAACTCTAAAGAAGCATACAAATGTCGAAGATGATGTTGAAACATCACCTCAAGTAACTGCTACATAATAAAATGATATTGATAATGACATCAACAATGATTGTGTCATTGTGGGAGATGATGAAAATCAGGAAAATAAAGGGCCCTCTATCAGAATTCAGAAGGATCATCCCAAAGAACTCATAATAGGAAATCCTAATGAAGGGATTATTATAAGGTCATGAGAGGTAATATTCAATGCTTGTTTTGTTTCAAAAACTGAACCTAAAAATGTGAAAGAAGCTCTAACTGATGAGTTTTGGATCAATGTCATGCAAGAAGAATTGGAACATTTCAAAAGAAATGAAGTTTGGGATTTATAAGAATAAATCTGATGAAAATGGAGTGGTTACCAGGAACAAGGCCATACTTGTGGCTCAAGGGTACACTCAAATAGAAGGTGTTGACTTTAATGAGACCTTTGCTCAAGTTGCTCGTCTTGAATCTATAAGACTCTTACTAGGGGTGACATGTTTGCTAAAATTCAAGTTGTTTCAGATGGATGTAAATAGTGTATTTTTGAATGGGTTCTTACAAGAGGAGGTTTATGTTAAACAGGAAAAAGGATTTGTGGATCCAACTTTTACAAATCATGTATGCAAATTGAAGAAGGTGTTAGACGATGGCTTGGATCTAGAAGGGGGATTGAATAGCTCTCAATTAAAAAATTAGTCGGTGCTACCAATTAAAAATTGGTTAAAAAGTTTTGTTTTGCGGAAGCGGCCGTGGAAAAATTACCGTCTAAAACGAACCGTTATTAGAAGACCGGATATGCGTCTAGCCTTATGGAAGTGATAATGAGCAAAAAATAGATTCAACACACTAGTCACACTAATCAATTGATTTTACCATTAATAAGTAGGACTAGTTCCAATGCTCCACAATTACCACAAAATATGCAAATAATCCAAGTGAATTTTGGTTTAGGCAATTTATCAAACACTTGGT